TTCTCTTTTCTTATGGACTACAGAGTTTTATGTAACTATTAAGAAATAAAAATATATAATTTTATGATTTTGAAACAATATACATATAACTTCAATAAATATAATTACTCAACACTAATTAGTATGTGCTGTTAACAAAGTAAAAATATTCTTTACGTATTATTGTTGTTGTTATATGCCATTGTGTGGATTTTCAAATCCTAACGACACCATGTGACAGTGTAGAGCTTCACCATAGGTTTTCCTAGACTGTAATCTTTATGGAGCGAGCTGTCAGGTCTTCTGTGAGTACAAGCTGGCAGTTTTTCAGTTACCAGAAGAACACTTAACCTTTGGTTGGTTTGAACAACCAACCTTATGGTTAGTTTTCCAGCACTTTCTCATCTGCACAAACCAGGGGCTTCTCACTAACTTCAGTGAGGACTGACCAATTTCTAGGTATTATTTCCGGGTTAAGACAATGAAGACTAAAACATAGTTCACACTCCGAAGGATCACAGTGTAAGTTATTTTATCAAATTCTAAAATCTAAAAGCAAACATGGAAGGAACTAAACACAGCATCATGATGGAAAAACTTAGTTTTCTAATTAATTCTAAATCAGATCTTTATAATTCTCTGACATTTTCCACTGATTAGCTCATTACATGATTTGAGTAAACTCAGTCACATGAAATAATGAGCTCTGGTAGCGAAGTGGTTACGAATCGGACTTCGAGCCGCAAGGTCAGCAGTTCAAAACTACCAGCTGTTCCGCAGGAGAAAGATGAGGCGTTCTGCTCCCGTAAAGATTTACAGCCTCGGAAACCCTGTACAGGGTCACTATGAGTCAGAACTGACCCCACGGCACATAACAACAACAACAATAATGATTTTATCAGCCTTGAAAATGAAAAGTAAGAAATAACAGATCTATTAGATCTCAAAGTTATGAATTAAGATCTCCCATTTCCTGGTGTGGCACTGTGGGCTAATGTGTCAGACTGCAAAGTTGTTTGAACTGCAAAGTTGGTGGTTCAAGCTCATCAGCTGCACCTTGGAAACCCTATAGAGGGACGCTATGGGTTGGAATCGACTAGATGTCACTTTACAACACCACCACCATTTATATTAGCATTACATTTGGGAAATTTTTTTTTTTTTTTTTTATTAATTTTTCCAGGCTTTTTTTTTGATAATGATTTAATTTGCAATTAACCAACTTCATAAGGAGCACTGGTGGCTCAGTGGTTAATCATGTGGCTGTGAACACAAAGGTGGGCAGTTCATAACTAAGAAAGAGCTGCTCCATGAGAGAAATATGTGCCACTGTGCTTACATAAAGATTTGAACTCCTGGTGAGGCACTGTAGGATATGCACTGGACTGTTAGCCACAAGGTCTACTGCTTAAGCTCCACCAGTCACTCCTTGGAAACCATACACAGAGTCGTTATAAATTGAAACTGACCAATGGCATATAAAAACAGAAATGCAGGATTCCAAAAATTTGCACTTATACACTATAATAAAACAAAAGTCAAACTGTCTCCAAAGAATACATTCACCAAAAGAGACAAGCAAAATTTTTGGAAAAGTGAAAAATGACACACACTTATTATCAAAATTCTATGCTAAATACTCCATGCAAGGAATCTGTAATACAGAGCACTAAATGCTATGCTAATATCATTAACATTTAAAGCAAATATGATAGGTAGCAAAAAATATTATAAATACTTATGTTTATTCAAATAAGGAACTTCAAAGAAGAAAATGCGTCTACTTCACTGATAACTGTAAGCCATGAATCAGAATATATGGGAACCCTAGAGGATTAAGCATAATAGGTAATTTCTAAAACTCAATTTGCAAAGTATCAAATACTTAAACATATAGTTTTTCCTTAAGAATTTAGTCAGACCCCAGGAAGGACAGAATCAAAAACAAAATCACTGAAACTTATCATAACCAAGTTCTCTAAAATCAAAGATAAGGAGACACTCCTGAAAGCAGCTAGGGAAAGCAGGAAGTATTACATACAAAGGCAAGCAAGTCAGATTAGTCTTCGATCTCTCAGCAGAAACCATGCAAGCAAGAAGGCAATGGGGAGACAGATATAAAACACTGAAAGAAAAAAAAA